TTACATAACTCAAATATTATACAGTATAGATATGGTTACCCTGATCACTTACTCTTGGTATGTTTTACTTGATCAATACTGGCAATAGCTGGCAATGGTCTCCGGTGTGTCCGGTAATGTCTGTCCATTTCCTATAAACTCGATCTCATTACACACTTCATCGATGGCCGTGTCGTTAAAGCATACCTGTGCTCTGCCTGAGTGTGCGGTTTATATAATATAATTAGTTAAAACTTATTATAAATGCGTATTAATGTTACCAGGTTTACCTAAAATACTATGATCCAGATTCAACTCGTTTTATTTAATTTTTAGTTATAGTAACAATAGTTGTATACTATTATATTGTATATAAAATTATATATATAATTTGTGTGTGTATATATATATTAAATTGTATATAAAAGATACTATTAATGAAAATTAATGAAAATTATAATTAAATAACGCTATGTGTACTGTACTAAAAGGGACACTGTTTAAATAATAATAAATAGAGTATTAATTAATAATTATGTCTGTGGTCATAGCATTTATTGTGTTCAAGGGGGTGGGTAGGCAAGAATAATAGCTAATTATTACAAATTTCCGAAATTAATCTATAATTTAATAATAATTGAGAAATCAATGATTGTATAGTACTTACAATTGAACGCGCTAACTATAATAATTGAAATGATCAAGTAAAATTTCATTTCTTATAGCAAATGTTATAAAATTAAAATATAATAAGTTTCCATATACTCTACAAAAATCCAAATGTGTTTTAAAATTTTAATTCAAATTACATTAATTGATAAGAAAATAGCTACTTTCTATACTTAATACAAAATATTAGTAACTTTTTGAGTATTACATTGAAATTAAAATTATCTAATATTTATTGAAATAAATGAAAAGTATTTAATGATTATGAATAAGATTTTGTTTGGATGTCTATCTGTTTATTTTAAGTATCAGCATAATATTATTTTAAAATAAAATAGTTACATTTAAGTTCATAATTAAATTCATTTAATCACAACAAATTCATAATAATATAGTCTATATTATAGACTCTACTATTATAGACTGTATTTTGTATAATATTGAGAGAACTTACTTTGTAATTACCTATAAACTTTAAAGTATAATTACAAACTTTAATATAATATTAAAAGTATTAAAAGTTGCTCTCTGCAAAAAAACCTATCATATGATATTCATATCAATTTGTAAAGTATTGAACTATTTGTAACCGAGTCTAAAATTTGACAATTAAATTAAATTATTATTTAATTTGATGAATATATTAACCCAAAAATATGACTAACCAAATAAATGCTAAATAAAAAACCTATTAAATGTTGGATTAAATGATTGTATGTATGCATGACTTTAATGACTAGAAATGCATTTAAAGTACTCTTTAAAACTGATGGCGAATATGGAAATTGTCGTAAAATATGTAAAGATATTATTTATGCAAAACATCGGCTTTATTCAAATCATACACAAAAAAAATCTCATTTTATCCCTCGTTATCCTAAATATCAATCACTAATCACTAGTAATACTATTGAACCCAAGCTTTCAATTGAATTGAACGGTCGGTCAATAACTTATGCATCAAAAAAAGTTATTAATTTTTGTGATCACATTATATAATGCATACAAACAGACACAAAATGAGTGAAAATTTTGTTTTATTTGATTTCTATAATGAATTTACAACACTTCAAGTTATAACTTATAATAATAACCCACTTTTTGAAGTAACTGTAGTTGTCAGACATTTCAGGTGGTGTTCACTCGGATTCGTGTATTCAAAGAGATAGTCATTTGATATTTGGTTTAATCACCAGTGAATAAATGGGATTATATTTATTTATTGTATAATATGTATGAGAGAGACAGTTATCTAATGATATGAGAGAGAGAGAGAGAGAGAGAGAGAGAGCTCTTTTTAGGGCTGAGTGAGTCAATGCACTTCATTGCATATATTTAATATCCAAACAAATTTTGATGAATTAGAGAGAAAATCATTTAAATATTATTTTTACGAGACAATGATTATGTAAATAAAATACACTTTTAATGTACGCTCCGTTATAAATAAGTATCATTTTTATGGGAGAGAGAGAGGGAGAGAGAGAGAGAGAGAGTACGAAAAATGCATTAGTTATGCACGCAATTGTATAACAAGACTTTAATATAAGGTTTAAATTAATTTTTTTTATGAAAAAATAGTTTAATTTGTTTTCATTTCTCATTCTTTTGTGAAGAAAACAATTCATAAAAATTCAATTTTATTCTTGTTTTGAGTGCTATTCTCATGTGTTGTATACAAGCGTTGATTAGTTGTGAGAAACTACTAATCAGTGAAATAATACTCATTTAAAGGCTACTTTCAAACTATATATAAAATAATTTAATGATTAAAAAGTCTCTCTCTCTCTCTCTCTCTCTCTCTCTCTCTCTCTCGCATAACTTGACTGTAAAAATAGTAATGAAATGACGTTTAATCTCAATTTAATCGTCAGTTTTGAAAATAGAGAAAAACTATAACTGTTTTGTGTGTCAACTCTTCAACAGTAAGAAAAGTATAGTTAATTCATTCAGTCGTTTAAAAATAATTCCCATTTTTTAATACACATTCAGGTTTTGATTTCAATCGACACAACAAATAGAAAAGTGGTTTACATTACGGGCAGCGAAACAAAAATAATATTTTGTCCCAAAAATAGTTACTCCGAAAAAAGTAAAAAAAACTTTTAGCCACAAAAAAACTTGTAAAACATATTTGTCTCGCGCCTCACATCCATAGCAAATGAATTGCCATTAAAGCCATAATTTGTCGCTGAAATTGATACTAATTATGATTGTTTTCACATAATTTTTTTCGTGTAACTCAACTACAATTCACTTTCTATTGATTTCGACCGCCGTTTCCATCACCCCTTCCCTCTCACCATCACACCTATGGCTAGGAGTGAAGGGCTACTGAATCACAGGATTATCGCTAATCCATCGATAGTTTTGTTGTTGATTTCATGGCATGTGTTGTGTGTTATGTGCCATCAATTGGATTCAGATCCAAATGAGTTGCAACTCAATGGGGATCCGACCGACAGTGCGAAGTACGGGTGGAAAGTGCTGGTGAACGACATCTCAAAGTCGTGGACAACCACTAAGTTTTATGCAAGTACAGCTGGAAAGGGGCATAAAATTATTAAAAAGTTGCTGTATGTATTCATTTCTATACTTATAATTCTTACACTTTTAACCATTTAATCATTAATTTAGAAAATTAAATATTATTTGTTAACTAGCTCAAAGCAATTATACTAATAGACATTAACAATTTAATAAATGTGGCATAAAATACAGATAATATTGTTAATTGGATAATTTAATTTAAAGCTTATTACCGCAATATAATGTGCATCTTATGTAATACTGTGTATATTGAATATGTTTAGCAAAAATCCGGTGAAAAGTCAACCGAAACCCGAAACTATATACTACTCACCGAAACGGTCGTCAAAATGTATGTTCGGAACGCCTAATCCGCACAACAATTGCGGGGCAGACGTCGTGGCCTCCATTAAAACCAATGAATACCAGAGATTGGCTCAAAAGTTGTGGAAAACATATTTCTTAAGGCATTCGTACAACGCTTACAAATAATATGCAGTTTTATATGAAATTGTTTGTAAATATATCCATTAAAAGTAAAATTTAAAAAATAAAAATTAAACATTAAATGAAAAATTGATTTTACAATTTAAATATAATTATTAATCATTTTATTGTTTGTCAAAACACTTGTAGATTTCAATGAACACATCGTATATATTATAACTTATGCTAAAAATTATGTAATATTTTTTATCGTACAATACATATTTAATTGAAAATAGCAATATATTTGTATATTAAAAAATATTTCCATCCAAAAATGCACCACAAATTGAAAGGCTATTTTTGATTTAACATTACATTTGTTGCCTAATAAAATATTGCGAATAAAAATAAAAACAAATTTCAATTTTTAATGTTTTTTAATTTTAGAAAATATTTCAAATAAATTTCCAAAATAATAACTCGAAATATAGTTATATATATATATTTTCTGGTTAATAGTCACATATTGTTTCAATAAATCATTTTCATATTCAATATAACATTCATATAATTATATAATATATTGAGTTTTCATCAACACTTCGTTTAAATCAAATACAAAATATGTTTAAAAATTTGTTTATCATTTGAAATGTGAAAAATTGACAAAAAAATCATATTTAGACTCAAAACAAACACAGAGTTTAATGAATAAAAACAATACTATTATTAAGATAATAGTCAATGAAAGTACAAAATAAATATTTCATTAGCCCTCACATTAAGGACTAATTAGTGAACACATTTTAAGTGATAAAAGCTTCAAATCAATGGACAGACAAACACTTGAAACGTGTATTGTCTGCCGTGAAAAACACTGAAAATGTTGTTTCAATGGCTTTTGTGTTTACTCTGAGTCTAAAAACTAAAAATTATTTATATTTTTAATTAAATAGTATTATTATATATATATCTATCTTGTGAGCAAATATTTAACAATCATTCATACAAAACAAAACACATTTTTTGATTAATATGTTTGTGTTATTGAGGCATATATAGTATCAAAAACTTTTAATAATATTTGTAATAATAATAATAATAATAAAAAAACTTCAAACTATAATATCAAACGTATAGAAATTAATAGATAAAAACAAACAACTCATTCATATATATCCGATATATCGGTAATAACATGCAAATTAACTTTCATTTAAATTAACAGAGAAAATGCAAATATATATAAACACTAATAAGTTTTGAACACAAATCAAAACAAATTAAACTAATCATTACATTAAAAATATACTTATAATAATAATAATAATAATAATAATCATATAATTAATGACAAAAAATATATAACAATCAATGAATTGTACTATAAATGGATGAAAAACTTCAAAAAAAAACAAATGCAATGAATGAATGGGACGACAGATATGTATATAATATATATAATGAGAGGAACTGTCGATGAAAGCCAGACCACTACTGCTTCTCCTCATCGTCGGTGTCGTCCCAAACACTATGCCTTTCGTAGAATTTGATGACCAGTTGCGGACACTTGTGTTTAGCGACGTCTGAGAGGACAACCGTTTGCTCCCCATTCGTCCATTTGACCAGAAATACTAGCGTCTCGTCGAGACTGTTGATGCCCACGATGTCGGTGGCCGTCCAGCCCTTGTCCCAGCCGTGGAGACGCGTGCGGATCAGGTTCAGGATCTCCTTCTCCTCGTCGGCGGACATCGACTTCATCGGCGGCTTCGACGACAACTCGAGTCGAGTTTTTCGACGTTTCGGTGATTTTATGCGCTTTTTCTGTATATCCGAGTGTTTCGGGACACAAGATATTAGTCACAAAAATATAGTCACAAATGATATGCAGATTTAAAAAAGTCTACGAAACAAATCAATAGATTTCTAAGTTTTCGCTAAACTACAGCACATTCACTGTATATTTGCAGACAGTATTGAAAATACAAATCATTTGATTAAACGCTAAAAAGTGAGACAATTTATAACAAAAATAAAAATTATTATTCCAGAAAAGTCTCCCAAAAATCGTTTTGTAATGGCTTTTGATAAATATAAATACCTTTTGAATGACTAACAATAATAATAAACTGGAGATCATATGACTAGTAGGACAGGGAGTTTTCACACACAAAAAGTATTCAAATTGACAATAAATCAAGTATTCAAACAAAACTAATTCTCAACGAAAAAGTTTTATTTCAATTCATCGAGAAGTTTGGCAAAAGTTTGCTGTAATTTATTGTCAGATAAAAGACAAACAAAAATAACTAAAACAGCGATCGAGGGCTTGAAATGCACAACAAATAACTAGTTTTGTGAGGAACTGGAGAGAGCACAGGGAGACTGTATGTATGTATGGAGGGGATCGGGAGTCTGTAGCACTGGTGGCACTGCCCTGTCAACAGACAACTCATGGAAAAACTTTTTTCTCATTACAAAAACACACGAAAAACCAATGTTTCGCTCATTTTTTCATTGAGCTTTGAATCCATAAAAAGCATTCACTAAACAAATGCCTATTTATCGCCACATTTAGCCCTCAAAGGCATTCAACAAGCGATTCATAACTTCACTGTAAGCCAGTGTTCACTATAACCGATCGCTAACTGTACCCATAGGTAGGCTAACAGAGAGCGATATTGCGAGCCATAGCTAGGAAATACATGTCACAGACATTACTAGAGTATTGTATGAGTTATCAAATTTTAAACTAAATTACACACAAAAACACATTAATATTCAATAGAAATATAGCAAAAATAAACTAAAAACAGAGAAAAAAGGTTTAAAACACATAACACGATAGGAAAAGCATAGGAAGGACAGACATTTGGAAACAAATAATATGCAAATACTGTACCTTTTTATGACATATCAACAAATGATTTCTAATTTCCATAGTTTCCTGTAAATAGAGGACAGGTATAGACACGGATAGACGTATGGGTTGGTCAGCGGTATTACGGATACAAATAA